CCTTAAACCCAGAAAGTGTTCAGAGTTGCTTTTGAAATATCTTAATCATGTATTTCTGGAAAGCTCATCTGAGCTACTCTGTCAGCCTAGTTCACAGTGACCTCATTGCAACTGCTGCTTCCTAAATCACCAGAGATCCTCCTTTCTCAGACTGTATGGGCAAGGATGGCCTTCCCATGGAGAGCAGTATCCTCCTGACATCCATTTGCCCTTATACATGCACGAGGAACCTTCAGATCACTTCTGTGTAACTTCTAATAAACTCTTTAGCAAAGAAGACTGCAGTATCAGCAGTATTCAACCATTTATCATGCAGTCGAGATCAAAGGAAACTCAGAGATACTTTATTTCAGCTTGCTAGCCTAACTGTAATTTGAACTGTTTCCTCCTTTGTTTCACAAACTGTCCATAAATTATTTATCGATGACCTGCTTGAAGAAGCCCTCTCCAGCATAGGAATGGTGAGAGCTGCTGCTCTCTGTGTCTGCATACATGTAGCTCTTTAAGACTGAACGCCATTCCTTGCGTTGCCTGCAGGAGACCCAATATCGGATGACTGAATTATCACTGTAACCTAGGAATTGCGGTAAAAATAGAGGTGGCCTGTGTGAGTTTATCTCAGAGAGAGGGCTGAGAGACTAGCTGTTACTCCTGGACGGGTCAGTCTGAAGAATGTTTAATTGTATAGTTGTTAAGTCCCCTGTGTGCAGAAACTGCACTGGCTGCAGGGAACCTGCAGGCTCTGGGATGCAGCAGCCTCTGCAGAGGTACAGGCTGGATGCTGAGGGCTAGGCAGCAGGTCTGCTGAAAGGGCCTGGGGCTCCTGGTGGATAGTGGTGTAAACCCAAGCCAGAAACTGCCTCTGTGATACTTCTCCTATAATTCTGCCTCGGTTACCCTGTAATAGCCGCTAAAGAACTGTGCAAGGAGAAAATTCGAAGGTACCTAAGTAAAAAACAGTTCGTTTTTGGGAGCAAATACCTCACAACTGAAAAAAGCTAGGGTTACCCATAGAGCTGACTGTAAGCTTGGTGACGTACAGACTGTGCAGTATTTAGGATCTTTGGGGCAGCGGCTTGCTGGTATTTCTAGTGTCGATTCTGATAGTCGTCTGTTTGCTGCCTCCTCCTGGGGAGGGGCCTTGAAAGCACCCTGGTAATCCTGAATTGCTTATTTTGAAACCTTTTATCTGAACCTCTTGCAAATGCAGCATTTGACTGACGGCTGAAAGCTGTCTTCATCTCAAAGCCTTTGCCAAACCTCTTATATATCACAATACTAAAAAAATCTTAAAAGATTTTGTGTGTTGTCCCTTGGAGCACAGAAATATCCCTTTGTTATGATTGTTTCCCTAGCTTGCTTTCTCTGTGTGCACCAGTTGCCTCTGATCTTACAGATGGAGTGTAACCGATTTTAAGGCAGGGGAGTCCTTCTGGTTTTTGTTGTTTGTTTGTTTGTTTGTTTCATACAGGATGTAGCATAGTTAAATCTTACCTTTTTTGAGAAATGGCTGGGATTTCCTATGTACCAATATGCAGGTCACCCATAAGATATAGTGGTAGATCTTCATGTCCATACTTTTTTTTTTTTTTTACCAGCTGCCTGTGTGATGCTTTCCCATCCCCACATATGTCAGGGTTTGCCCATGACCCTTCCATCCCCTTCCCACCCATACGCACTCCTTCATGCAAGATACTGTCTTGCACCCTGTTAAAAACTCAGTGAGCTCTATATCCCCCATGCTCCATCCCAAATCACACCTCTCTTATTGCCTATGCCAAGGGATGTCTGTGCATCCTTTCTTCTGATCCTTCACCATCCTCTTTCTTTTTTTCTTTCTCTTTGTTGGGCTGGAGAAGAAGGCTGATAACTAAATTGGGGTGCCTGGGATGGGTCTGACCTGCTAGATAACAGCAGGCCCAGGGAATCATTGGTGCACTTCAGCATAACACCTTCAATTATTTCTTGGCATTAGCGACATTTGCAGAGGTACTTGCTGGACTAAGCAGCTGTTAGGGGCTCTGTACAACCTCCACTCTCTGTTTCACGTTTCTGGCTTTTGCACAATTCGGTAAGGTTCTGGCCCCACACAACTGATATTCTCTCCAGAAATCATTGCACTGCTGACAGGCAGATGGCTTATGGGATTTCATGGCTCAGTCACATGAAGCTGACACCTCAGACGCATAGCTGCAGCTGCCAGAGCTCAGGTGTTTATGAAAACAGAAAATTGTTGATGGCAGAGTAGAACCAGCTTTCTTCAGGTTTTAATTCTGAAAAGGACTTCTTATTTCTAACTCCCAAAGCCATTCATGATGTTGATCACAGTATTTTTAGTATCATTTGTAAGAAATGCTTTCCATATATAAGAACAGGCACACTGGACCAGACCATCCAGCCGAGGGACAGTGACCAACAGCAGATGCCTGAGGAAGAGCATAAGAACAGGACAAGCATGAAGTAATACTTCTTCAAAATGCTCCACCAGCCTCCGACAATCTGTGTCTCATGGATTTGCTGAACCAGAGCTGTTCTCTTCTTGCTGTAGTATCTTTTCCATGCTTCAGTTCTTCCTGCTTTTCAGCCCTACTTCATTTCACTTGTTAAAGAAAAAGGAGAGAAACTCCAGACAGTTCTAATAGATACACCAGAGAGTGCATATTCATAAGCTGGGGACCTAGCAAGCTGCAGGAGCATCCTTAATGCTGCCACCTATTGTGAATAGGTCATGCAAGAGTAAATTCTCCTGTCAGGGGGACAAGAGCATCAGTTAAATCATGAGACTGTGTTTCTTACATTTTCCACATAGACTACCAGACCTCAGTTTAGACCGTTGGACTCAGTGGGATATCAGTGGGACATCATAAAGAGAAGAAGGATATGCTTTGTGACTGTAATGCACTTGGGTTTAAGAAACAAAGTAGGAGACTTAGTGTTCCCTTAGCCTATAGTGAATAGGTGTGGTGAATTTATTGGTTAGAGCAGCCCAGTGGCAAGCTAACCACCGAACCATGTGCTAGGTTGCAGCAGCAAGAATAAGGAAAATCACGTGTTAGAGAAGAACATGGAAAATATATTGGTCCTGGGATTTAATTTACATTTCAGGGTCCCAAAAGAAAGGTGAATTTAATAGATTAAATAAGGAACTCAAATGGCATTGCATAATAAGTCATGGAGTTTGATGCTTCTGGGAAGCCTGTAGTCCTGTAGTTCTCTTGGTCTGTATGAATTCAAGGCTGTGAAATTAAAGCTATGTACCTATCATGGTGGAAAGGGAGAGTTCTGTGGATCACAGCATGAAGTCTGCTGCTCTTCCCACTGTGCAAGCAAAATATGTGTATAGGTTTACAAGCTATGGTTTAGTCTTCTAGGTTTTTTTTCAGAATCAGTTTTCTTATCTAGTTGTATAAAGATGGTTAGCAATGAAATTATTTGTATCATTTGCTAAGTATTTGCATAGATGTTTTATTAACCTTTATGGACCAACATGTAGTATGTCATTCCTCCATTTCAGTCAGCAGACAGTGTTTGGTTATAGCTCAGGTTTTGGCACTTAGTCACAGATTTGAGTCTTCCCTGCAGGTCACAGTTGTCTCCGTAGGGTATTAACAGTACTGGTATGACTTTGAAGAAGTCAGAAGTTACCCAAGGGGCTACAGGAATAAGAGAACATGAACTCGAGAGATAACAGTGTTTTATGAGTTCAGGAAACATGTAGACAGTGGGTGCAGTTTAATTTGCAGTCATAACAATAAATTCTTCCTGTTTCTAACCGACAGTGTCACTCCACTAAACTCACATATGGTGACACAGTATATTCAGATGCAGCTAATGACCAGCTGAAGGTGCTGTTACCTGGAGATGTTTTCTCCTGGTCTTCTACTCAGCAGTGCTGCTTGTAGAGCAAGGTCCTGTAGGATTTAAAAAGAAATGCTAAACTGTGCATTGTTTTTGGGAATTGGTCTACAGAATGTGTGGCAGTTATGCCCTTGCTGCATGATTACATGTGATGGTTCAGAGGCATATGTAAGTGATGCTACATTTTATTAGATTCCACTGGTTTTTGGAAGGAAGCAACCAGTTGGTTCCCTGTATATACGAATCCTTGGCATTTTTCTGGGAATGACAGCCTCACTGTCTCAGTTATCAACCTGCTGAAATGCAGAGAAGCAAAGTATCAGTTAGAGAAGCCTAACTTACTTGGAAACTATCAGCATTTGTTTACAGACTCTCACACTCATTCTTCTCTCTTGTGTCCCAGTCCTGTAATTCATAGCTGGTGCTACTCCAGTGTTCACCCAGAGCATGCACCCTTTTTGAGGTAAGGAGTGGATGGCAGGTTCTTCCATCTACTTCCTCTGCTCTCCTGGACACATCATGGTGGGGAGGAGCCATCCTGCTTTGTCATCCTGTAACAGCTTCTTTGGTGTATTTGTGTTTGAATCATCCAGTATTTCTTGTATGAAAAGAAGATATATGATAGTGATTCTACAGCGATAAAATGTCTTGTGTACCATTGTCAGAGTAAAGAACTGGATAATACATTTGTAAAACACCTCACAGATTAAATCCAGGGCAAATGTCATATAGCTGTGCAAGCTTTGTTTAAGGGACAAGTCCAGACTGTTTTGCTTGTGTCTGCCCTCCATCAAGGTTTCCACCTGCCAGGGAATCTTTAAAACCTGGCAGTGTCTCAATAGGGAATTTACCTTAAGACTGTAGAAAGATGTTCTGGATGTCTGTATTCCTCTTAGCTAATGAAACCAGGATAGGAACAGTTTTACATTTGTGCACAGCGGTTAGCAGAACAAGGTTGCAGTTTTGCCCAGACAGTTTTGTCACTAGAATGTGCAAAATAAGAATTCTAGAGTTTGGCATCATGACTATCGAAATGTTTCAATTTTAGCAAGGCATCAGCATGCCAATTTGACCATATTTGCCCTATTTGACCACATACTCTACTCAAAGAATCATGGCTTTCCATTTTTTCCTTGTCCTAGAAACAGCACGTGTAATTCTTCAACCTTTGATGAATCAGAAGAATGGCAAGTTGCTCAAGATGCTGAAATATGCTTGTTGAAGTCAGGAGAAATCATGTAAGTGGAACAGTTTCATTATTACCAGGCTGAAAGAATAAAGGCTGAGCTCAGGTATCAGGTATGTGAGCACAAGTCTTGCAGACTCCTGGAAGAGCTGATCACTTGTGTCCCACAGTAGAATTTGATCTGAGGAGGAGCAGAGAGTATAGCTCAACTATGCAGAGCAGCAGCAATGAGCCAGGTCTTCTCTCTTCAGTCCTGCAAAACTTAGTGCAAGTGGGGAATAAGAAGGAAAGATTTGGGTCCATATCACATCAGAAAACCTTCCTTCCTATTCTTATTGAAGAAGGTGCTGTGAACAGGAAGAGGGGGCTTGGAGAGAAGGCTGTGTGTAGTTCTAGTAGTCTGTGGAAGAAACTGCAAGGGCAAGTCAGGGAGTGCAGTGCTAGTTGGACCTTTGTCACGGGGAGGGAATTCATGGCCTTTTGGAGCATGTATCTATTATTTATTGGTGGCCTCACAGAAATTGTCTTGCCTGCTCTGGTTGATACATGCCATAGCATAAAATGTTCAGCTGAGCCTCTGCTTAGCCTCTGTGAACTGTGTGCTCAAAATTCTCTGCATGTATCCTGCTTTGAAATTAATAGTTACATGCAGTAGCGATACAGCATGTCAGTTGCACAGCCAAGAAGGGAACCTAACATATGAAAATGCCTGTGACTTGGAGAAATTTCCCTTTGATCACTCTCCCCTTATGCCTAGCTTTGAAATTTTGGCTTATTTATGGGGAAGGTTTTAGACTTTTGACTACAGGGAGATGAATGAGCCCATGTTTCAACCTTGTTGCTGCTGTTCAGAGAACCAGGTAAATGAAGCAGTAACTAAAATCATAGCTGGGCTGTAGGGCAAAACCAAGAGTGACTGTTAGTTTATTAAAATCAAATATCACCTGAGACAGTCCAGCAGTTACCTCAGCTAAGAGGAAAAAGTAACAAGGTAAGCAAAAAATATAAAGCTTCCTTTCTGGCCAGAGTACAATAGTTATCATAACAAATCAGCTGTGATCCTTAACCACTGTGTACTCATGTTTAGAAAATTAACAACGCCTTACTCTAGAACAGCAAATCATCGTGGTGACTGTGTGATATCTTCTGGTAAATGTGTTGATTTTTGGTAGCTGCTGACAAACAGATCACAATACTGTGATTTACTGTGAGCTCATTGATTTGGAAACAATTTATTTGGCCTAAAGAGTGATATGTTAGATTAGTTTTAGTTAGGGTAATGTAGGTTAGATCCATAGCTCTTAGAAATTACAGGTTTCCCCTGAAGAAAGCAAGCAGCATTCTCCTGTTTAAGGGCCTCATTGTTTGCAGTCTGAAATAGATATCTAATTCTATGAGTTAGATAGAAGCTAATATAATGTTTCAGGACTCAGGATCATCTAGGTGCTAAGAACTTCCTTTTTAATTTGAAGTACTTTGAGTCAGCTTTTATGTAGCTTGCTTGGGTAAAACAGACCAAGCTGTAGCATTAGGTGCTTCAGAGGATCTAGACAGAGCTGCTGTTCACATTCCATCCATCTGTCCCCTCTGTACTCCTGATCCCTATTTCCTGTACAAACGGTATCTAGAAAGGTGAATAAATTAGGTAACCCTCTTTTTTAAAACTTTTGTTTAAAAAGAACAGTAGAGGGCAGCAGACTCTTTTATGGTAGTTAAAAAGATTTATTCAAGCACTAGCTTTTTCTAGTCAAAATGAAATAAAATAGGTGAATAATATCCACATTTGCTAGAACAGTGAAAGTGCTTGATATCAGTCATCTTTTCTGTAGTTCTTGCCCTCATCCAAGGCTGAATTTTCCTGCATCTTGTGGACCTGTCCCAAAGTTGCTGAGGAGTCTGCCTCAAATAGATGGAAAATAAAAAGCAATTATTATTGTTTCTGTCTGAGTAATTAGATTGGATCTCTTCAAGTAATTGTATTTTTCTCCCTCACAGGATCAAATTACCCCTTACAGTGGAAGAGATCTTAAATTTTGGGGAAAGCAACAGAGAGCTGTTCATTAAATCCAGCACCTACAGTATCATTCCCATCACTGTTACAGAGATAGGGCTAACAATTAGCTGGATCTTTTCATCAGACCCTAAAAGCATATCGTTCAGCGTTGTCTACCAAGAATCAGAAGACACACCACTGGATCAGTGCAAAGTAAGGCTTTTTTTTCCTTACTGCCTTAGAGACTGTAGTACGCTGCAGTCAGCCGCCTAGAGGAATCAGCAAGTATAGCTAGGAGGTCTCCACAAGAGTGCCAGTTGCTGTTGCCTTAAGGACTTATTTCTCCAATTAACCTACAGTTTGGCTGAAGGCAGAGCTACGTCTTTAATTATTTAATGTTGCCTGCAAAAGGTCAGTTGAAAAGCACTGTAGCTTCTATTGGTCACATCTGAAATTCACCCACTATTACTAAGCAAAAATAAAAGTCCAAGCCTGCAAAATTCTTTTTTGGCTCCTCAATATAACTTAATTTGTAAGCTGCTTAGGGCTGATCTTGCCAGGCTCTTAAGCAGAGGCCACAAGGAGACAGGTAAATTGATTGGGTTACCTGCATTTCTTACAGTGAAGCATATATTTAAGTGCCTTGATGGTGCGCAAAATTGCTTTGCCAGTGCCCAAGGTACCAGTTTTTATATGTGCTGTCGATATTTCATGAGGATTATGGATTAAGTGAATGTATGTTACTCAGCTAATTTCAAAGTTTTAATGAAGACAAGGCAACTGTTGCTTTAATCCACCGTGGTAGAGGGAACTCTAAGACTGTGATTTTACTGGGGGAATAAGACATTTATATAGCTTGCGTTAATTCACTCCACGGTTACTAGCTCCATGTAAAGTCTCTTTTTTTCTTAATCTGAAAGCCAAACGAAGAGTGAATGTTGCTTCTATCTTGATATATCTATTTGATATAACTTTAGGTTTTATAGGGTCATCCTTGATCTACATCAGCTGCTGTTCTGACAACTGTCTCTGCTAGGGTTTTACAGCAACATAGATGGTTACACTCACTTTTGCTGTAAGCTTAGATAAACAATTAAGATTTGCTGAGGAAGCTTATTTTATAATAAAGGGAATATAAAAGTGTATATTAAAAGACATACTTAGCTAAATCCTGCTCTTGGATATATTTGTATAGATTTAATGTAGCGCTGCTGATGTTAGTAAACTTGCTTGGATTAAGATTAAAAAGATCAGGATTTGATTCTGTCTCTAAAGCAGAGATTTACAGCCATAGCTTAATGCTGTAAAGAGGTTATCAAAGGAAAACAGATATATCTCTGTGAGATTTTAGTTTGAGTGAATTTTTAATGCTGATCAGTGAAGATAAATAGATTTCAGGCACATATGGACTTTGGGATTTTCAAGATGGCTCAAGTCTAAATATTTTTCTGAAGGCAAATGTCAATTTACAGGGCCAATAGCAAGTTTCATTTTGATTTGTATTGAATTCTAGGTTCTTATTCCTATGACTCGCTGCAACTCTCATAAGGAAACTATCAGAGGACAGGTGAAAGTCAGAAACTCTGGAATCTACACGCTGATATTTGACAACACATTCTCTAGGTAGGTCCTCGCTGGGTGTAAAAGGTGAAATAAGCTTGGTTTTACAGACTGTGGAACTGATTGGATGTACCATTATTCTGCCATTCAGAAGTAAGTATGAGAAATTGGTCCCGGATTGCCAAAAGATCTTCAGCCCAAGTTTTGGTTCTTGTTCTTGTTGGGGGTTTTTTCTCCTCCCATAGAAGAATTCCACTCTTCTCTCTCAACCTCTGGGAAGGTAAACAGAAGTAAGGAAGTCATTTGTTACTCTTTCCAAGACAGTTTAGTCAGGATTGTCATCTTATTAACAACAGACCTGACAGCCCTTGTGCATTCATACTTCTTTTTAACAACAGTCAATTTTTTGCCTGAGTATAAACTGAAAGACTGAATACACTTTTAAGGCTTCCTGTCTAGTTGACTTCAGCTAACATGATCATCTTGCTCTCTTTTTTTCCTCAACAGGTTTATCTCAAAAAGAGTGTTTTATCACTTGGCTGTCGAGCGACCTGTCATCTACGATGGAAGTGATTTTCCATAGCCTTGACTATACTGTGTTATTTTTAATTAAATTTTTAAGAAATGCTACTATTTATGTACATGTAAGCATTATGATTACCACTGTGTTTGAAGACTTTGAAACTATGCAATAGTTATAATGCACTTAGAGAACATATATACACTAAAAACCAGAAGCCTTTTTAGGAACACTAATGGTTCTGTACTGTGTACAGATTGCTGAAAAGCCATGTTGTTTAACAGGTCAATAATAACCAAAATTTTTTCATTGGGGAGAAAAATAAGTGTAGGGGTGTATAAATGCAAACTGAAATTCTCTATGGGAAATTTAATTACTTTTCTTCCAAAAATATTCTTCAAAAGGAAATTTAAATAAAAAGGCATATTTTTGTTGACCTCTTCACTGGGGAGTAAACATAACCCTTTCTGTTCTGCTCTACTGCTCTTACAGTCAGAACAACAATTATGCAATATTTCAGTCTTCACAGGCATATATTGTAATCCATCTAGAATTTTTTATCTTTTCCAAGTTTTATAAACAGCAAACATAGGGGTTTTTTACATTTTGGACTAAGATTTGGTAAGTCTTAACTGGCTTTTACAAATGCTTTGGTACTGAATACCAGTTACAAAACAATACAACATGAAGCAGCAACTCCTTTCACTTTTGCTCACCATAGTCTGTAAGCTGGTCCACTGAAACCAGCTACTACGGTTCTGCCAGTACCAGTGGCAGAATCAGGAGCATCATTTGTAGAATAAAGTACTGCTCACTGTGTGATATTAGGAAGAGGAGCGTTCCTTTTTCCTTCTTTAGCACCTTAGTCATCAGCATTCACAGGAAAGCACAGTTTCTGAGGAGATCAGCAGTGTTTCTCTTCCTAGACCATGTGGAAGGTAGCAATAATATTTGAATCTGTCTCAAAACGTCCATCCAAAACCGAATGCATATCCAGTCCTGATGAGCTCTCCACCAGGTGTTAGTGTATTCTGCCCCTTTCCTAACCCTTGCAGTTGCCCTAGCCAACTGCTAGCTTTCCATCTCAGATTTGAGGACAGAGTTGGCTGTAAGCACTGCCTTTTAAGGGAAGACTGGGTTCTCATTTATACAAAATCTCCATGCAAACCGTCTGCTTTCTATATAGAATTTGAGCTTTTTGTCAAAATACCTGAAAGCAGATTTTTCTGTTTAAAAATCCTGTCTTTCTGATGAAAAGGCAAAACATTTGGCAGGAGAAAGGAGAAAAGCACTTTCTCCCAGCCAGCCCTCATCATTTTAGGTATGCCTGACTTCTCACGTAATTGTTCTCCCAAGGAAACGTCAGACCTGGAAGGTTTTAGTGCAGCAGCTGGTAGAAGACCAGCACAGCCTGCCAGGAATCCTGTAGGCTCTTGGTGGCAGCTGTTGCTGGTATACAGGGGTCATGGTGGGAGACAAAAAATAAAACATGAGGGCAAAGAGGAAAAAAAGGGCAAGCACAAGGTGAAGCAAATGATTTAGGGGAGGGGAAAGGGGCAAAGTTGTAAATGTAAAAACAGGGGCAGGGATCAACTTGATTAGGGCAGGAAGTCAGGAGAGTCCCACTGGTGTTTATGTGTTGCTGGTCCAATCCATTACCCATAAAGGATCTCCTACACCAAAAGGGTGGTTTTTTAAATGATGGAGATCACAAGACAAGTGTTGGACATTTACATAGTAGCGGCTGAGGTAGAGGGAAATTTCTGATCATAGGAAAGAAAAGAATACTGCAGATAAAGCTAAAGGTTGCTAATCATTCATTCCAGTTGTTAAATATGTATAAATACAGGGATCTTGAAAAAGATTGTGAAAGAATGGCTACTTTTCACGAAGGACCTAGATTTTAGGTGTCTGGCTCATGGATAGCTTTCCCTTCCCTTCAGATGCCTCTTCCCCACATTGGTGGTGTGCTCCCCAGCCTCTACCAGGCAGAGGGGTCAGTGGAAGGTGCAAGCTGGTTTACCTCACCTCCTGAGGGAACAGGGTTCAATGCAGTTAAACCCTTACCTGGCTGTGTGCATGAAAATGAGATGGACAAGAGACTGAGGCAGACAGTAAACAGGCAATAAATGGCACACAGATCTGTTAATGAATGATGGCATATTTCAGTGTTGAAGTTATGTTTTATATTTAATTAGGCAAGAAGAGATTATTTATTGCTTAAAAATGGAGTACTGTGTACCATATGCTATGCAGTTTCACTGAGCTGTTACTGAAGTCTGCTGCAGTTTTCCTTTAAGCTTTTAGGTGTGGTTTTTTAAAGCATTTGCTGTTGTTTTAGTTAGAATACTAATCTTGCTAGGATATCTTTCTTAAAATGCCAAATGTAAGGTAAAGGGACACTGTCAAGTATCTTAGGCCAAAATATGACATCTCTGCTCAAAAGTATTTGAAATATCTCCATTCAAAATTATTTGACAGACTTGCCTCTTGATTTCCTCTCTGCATCCCAGTTCTTAACGTTTTTTCATCCTGTGGCAAATATTTTTAAGCCACTGTTTACATGACTCTTAAAGTAATTGAACTCCATCTAGTAAGCCAGATGTTTCCCTGCAAGTCTTTCATGTAGACAGTCCTGAGGCTGACTGAAGCATATGTTTGGGAGGAGGGGAATAAAAACACTGGGTTGTTTTTATTTAGCATTTGAGTCTTTATGGTACCTTTTCTTCAGGTTTTCCTGCCCCATGTGAGTAGTTTTATGACTTTTTTTGCTCTCTGAAAGAGGGCTAAGAGTGGGAGCCAGAACCTGTAGTTTAAAGATGAAAATAAAAGGTTTGCTTCTAACCAAGGAGAATATTTGAGAAGGAGAAAAGGTTTCAGAAGATAAAATATTCAGGCTGTTAAGGTACAACCAGTGGACAGGAGTGCAGCTGTTCAAAGCAACTGTTCAAGAACAGGAATCCCATCGTGTCAGCTAGAAGAGGGAGTCTTTTCCACCTCAGAGGCTATGCAGAGAAGATAGTAAAGAAGCTGTCATTAGTACCAACCTTTTTTTTGAATGTGCCAGGCAGTTTATGACTGGAGCCATGGAAACACAGTAAAGGACTTAGCACAATTGTAGCTTTGTGCAAGAGATGATTTCATTCAAGGACCTTATACCTCCATTCATAAAGCACTTGTTCATGTAAGCTGTGCCAGAGACACTGATAAATCTGTTTATTTACAGGTGCTCAGGTGATTTGTTGAATTGGGCCTTTTATTATCCACAGGAATGCAATTAAGAGAAAAAGAAATATTTTAAATTGATCATTAAATTAATTGAAGGGGATGTCACACTCGTGGGACAAAGAGATTATACATTGTGGTCAGCATAAACAGTTGGGTGTTTTTCCTGGGTGCTGGAACAATGGAAGGTAAGATTTTTTGTTATGCAGAGGTTTATGCAAAGGAAAGAACATCGTTACTTTACAAAAATGACAGTGTTCCTTTACTCAACGTTACTCAATGTTGCTTTATGAAAAATCAGAGATGTATTGCACAAGGGTGTACCACATTACAAAACAGCAAAGCTACAAAAGCTTGACTTTGCTCCTTTCTTAAAATTGAAATTGCACTATAGTCTTAATTATGCTCAATCTGAGATTGTAACTTGTTCAGAAGCATCTTTTGGTCTTAACTGCCAAAGAATTGCGAACCCTGTTCACATCAAACATCGTGCTCCAGATCAGGGGAAAAGAGATTTAGGTATATTGGCATCTGTACAGTTACAGAGATGTAGACAGTTGTGTACTAGAATGTTTCTTGATGCTTTTTTTTTCCTTTTTAACCTCAGGAATTAAAAAAAAATAAAATTCTATATAATTGAGAATATGTGTCCCTTTTATGCGTTGTAGAGATAGCTTTGTCTGGAAGACAAATCAGATGATTGTATGATCTACTTCCAAGCAGGAAAAAATTTTACAAAATAAGGAAAACAGAAAATAGTTTGTCATGCTGGTGGAGAAAGGCCACGTCTGTACAGTACCACAGAGCAACAGTGGAGATCCATAAGTAAGTACTAAGTGAGCCGGTCCCCAAGGTAGAGGAAGTACCACCGTGTCCTGATGCCTCGGAGCAGCCAGGCCTCCCCCGGCAAGGGCACACAGCCCCATGGCTGAGAAACGCCTTCGTCTGCCTTTGCTTCCCCTCAGAGGTAAAAACAAAGCAGCCTGGAGGACAGCAGTTACACTCACCGTCATCCACAACACCGAGCAGTGCTGTCCTTCAGCTTAGGGCTCCTGTCTGGTTTTCCCCAGGTCCTGGCAGGGTCTGTACGCCTGGGTTACGTTGCATGGCTGTGGGAGGGCAGGAAACGCTGTGTGAGTGGCAGGCACTCTTCATGTGTAGGCTCTGTGTTTGCACCTGTAGTCCCAGTCCTGGGGCATGTGGTAAACCTGTGGTAAACACATAGGCTCCTCTGAGCTGCTGGGGCCATCCAAATGGGGTCAGGCGGACAACCTGTTTTCCTGACAGGGCCCCATCACAACCAGTCATCGCTTCTTTTGTCAGTTACTTCTGTTTCTTCACAGGAGTTTCCTGCTGGGGTGGAGGCTGTGATGCTTCCTGTCCCCACGCTCCAGCAGGAGAACCAGCCCCTGCTCCATGCTCAGAGGCTTCTCTCCAGGACAGACTCTCCAGTGAAGCCTAACCTGAAGTACAAGGGACCTGCAAAGACTGAGTTTTACGTATACCCAATACGCGTGTAAGTGACCGTACAACAGCTCTGTAGGGGAGGCCATAGCTGTGGAAAGCCTTTGTGTACGCCTCCAATAACCCATTGTCATACTGGACAATACCTCCTCCCTTCCCTGGTGCTAGGGGCAAGGCTCTCCCCACCCTAGTGCTGCCTTATGTAGGGTCTTAACCCACCTGTTTCTTGGCGTGTGCCCCAAGAATTGGCCTTGGCACACCCAGTATGACATTCTGCTGTGGGGACCATGTGAAGCTGCCACGAGGCAGAGGTACCCTCTCCATTAGTTCTTGAAATGTCAAAGGGATGCTCTGAAGTCCTAATATAAGTTTTAAAAATTTATATGGCCCAGGAGGCTTGGAAAATCAGGCAGCACTTGAGGGCACTGGGACTACAGTCGGGTCACTTAAATGATGGATAATCAGTCCAGATCATACTTGGAAATGGGGGGTTTGCACGTACTGAACTCAGATTGATGGTTCTGGTTTTGGAATGACTACACCTGAGCTATTTTCTCTACTGTCACTTCAGTGATGCTTGCAGCACCAATCACCATTCTCTCACAACTTTCCATTGTTTTTCTGCTCTCTGGAAGAGGCGCTTCTATAAAGCACATCTCTGTTTCAGACAGGAGTAGGCATCAGTTAGGCAGGTCTGCCTGCGGAGAGTGAAAGTTTCTCATCGGCTCTCCCAACTTCCTCTCCTTGTACCACAAGCAGGCTGGCGCCATGCTACGTGACTGCCTGCACCGCGGTCGCGGCTACCTCCGAGCCCTTCATCATAGCGAATCGATGTCAACCTGAAGCTACTGCTGTGGCCATCCCCACTATGGTGTGGCTCCTAGCCTCTGCACAGTTTGTGTTAGGCCAGCGGGCAGGTCTGGCTCGGTTCCTGCCTGGGTGAAATCTGGGGTCCTGGCACACTTCTGGCTCTCAGAGGTCTGAGATGGAGACTAGGAGTCAAAATGAAGGGTCTCAGGGTGATGATGCAATGCTTAGGGCAGACAGAAGCCAAGCTGCTTCTTCAAAGAAAAGGGGCAGCAAAGGAGACTGCAACCCCAAACCTGGAACATCTGGGGAAAAATGGCCTTAGAGAGAGGGGAGGGGTGCAGATCTCAGGCCTCTCCCAGGACGTCCAACAACTGCTTGGTGACCATGCTGCTGGAGCTGTGGGTAAGGCACAGGCAGTGTCCCATGGGAGGTGTGAGGGGCTGTGGGGCAGGGGAGACAATACCCCCTGCCTTTGGGGAAACCTCCTCTCCTGAGAAAGAACATCAGCTGAAGGCTGGGGACACCCTAGGGAGGCACGAGAGGGATTTCGGTGGGATAAATGCAGCTAAAAAGTTAGGGCAGAGGGACAGAAGAGCCCCAGGAGGGCTTGGCCACAAGGAGCTGTGCTGCCGGCAGACAGGCCACCGGCAGACGGAAGAGGGGGTAATGGCAGAAAACACTTCCATGACTGGGTCCCTGCTGTGTGGTGGCCAGCAACAACGGACCCCACTGGGGATGAGGGTGCAGCTGGAGAGGTTGCAGGGAGGCAGCTTTCTTGCAAGTTCAGGAGGTGCCAGCAGCCTGGGAAGCCACTAGCGGCTGGGGGGCGTCACGGACCACTAGCGGCTGTTGGACTGCAGGCAGCCCTGAGGAGACAGACCCCATGAGGGCAAATCTGCCCGGGGAGGGCTAGTCCCCCAGCTTCTCCCAGCAAAGCAGCGGGGAGCAGCCTGACTCAGAGTGAGACGTGCATGACCCGGGGACGACCCTGCTGCCCCAAACTGCTGAAAGTTCATCACCGTTTCACCACCCTCAACAGTTTCACTCGCAGACTAAGCATGAAAATTTCCCACCGCATTTCGTGGAGCGAAGAAGCTTCTACCATCTCTGAGAAGGCCCTGAAATTCAAGTTCCTGGCGCCAGCAGGACGCTGTGCAGGGAAGAGGAGCTCGAGGCTGCCAGGCAGGACTGCAGGTCAGCGGCAGCTAAGGTTTGCACACTTGTTTCTTTGTTCACATGACTTGAGGGCTCTTTTGGGGCCAGGAGGACCCTCTGGGCAGGAGCACCCTTGACCTCAGCCCTGGGAAGGGGTGGTGGGGCTCAGCTGCTGTGGGGAAGCGTCTGTCCCTGAAGTGCTCCCTCCTCCCCCACCCTCAGAAACCTGCCCTCCCTCCCAAAACTGCACCCCACCCCTCACCTCAGGAGCCTAAACCCGCTCCAGTGCCTGTAAGGTCTGCAGCTGCGGCTTCCACACCCCAAGGGGTAGACACGTGAAGTAAACCCTGTTAGCAAAGTTTTCCTTTGGCCTTTTTCGGGAGGGGTAAATCCTGTCATTGGAAACAGGTTATGCATACGGATCCAAACCTGGGAAGGATGTGTGGGCAAGACACAACCAGTTCATCCACTCAGTGTATGTGGCAGTGCCTTTATTTAACAGAATTTCAGCTTCAGTTTGCATTGAGCTTGACACAAATCGCAAAAAAACCCCAAACCCTTTTTACACATATAGTAAGAAATACGTACATCTTTCACCATTTTTTCCCCTAAGGAAAAGGTAAAAAAAAAAAAAAAAAAATCGTAATAAACGTATATGAAACTAGAACCCCATCTGTTCAGATGTACCCTATTAGCTAGAAAAGCAGCGCCAAACCTTGCAGAAAGCTTGTGTTTATCGACACGCTTTAATGATTAATGCACAATGGAAACTTTCTCATGCAACAAATAATTACCAGGAGGCAAACCAGGTTAAATGTGATTATTTAAAAGAAAGCCTCCTGAGCACTACAACTTGCAATAGAAGACTGGGAGGTTCAGGCTGCCGCTGAGCAGGACAGGTTATTCCATGTCCCCTGGAGGGGACGTGCGAGGGGGAATGGCTACAGGGTGCCCTGCAGCTCGGGCACTGTTATGGCACCAACACTGGCACGCCAAAAGCCCTACAGAAGTTGCAGGGTGCATTACAGTACACTGCTTTTGGGAACCGCTGCCTCCACCAACCTGAAGTCTCAGTCCAAATTTCATTGTTAGGTTTAACAATTACTCTCTGTCTTAGTGGCCTCAGGCTAAATATATTTTCTCACCGTTATCAAAGATATCGGTGCATAATCGGCAGTCTGTTGAACCATGGGTTAGGTTTTTACATTCTGGTTTACTATGGCTTTGCACCGTATGGCAAATATCCCTGGGACAGGCAACTCAGTATCTCTGACATCCTTGAATTTTTATTATGAGGTGTGATTTGTTTCCAGTATCAAAATAGGAGCCATAGCAAATAAATTGTACCCAATTTCACCTTACATCACACAGCTAAAACATAGGAGAAAGATCTAATTCTGTAACAACCACTTTATGAACACGAACAATTGGCTTTCCTTTGCAAGAAGAACCACCTGTGCAGCAAAACAGAGTTCTGTCTGCACAGACACAAAGTGCAGCATTTGCCTACTGCAATAAACCAGTGTAGGAACTAAAGGCTGTTCTCCTTTCCAGGAGAGGGGATCTGCTATAGAAGCAGGCAGCATTCCCGAATTTGGCCACCTCCCTAGGAGACCCTGGCTGGACAGCAAATGAAGGCTGAACCCTGTCCTGCTGCTTCCTATGGACAGGACGGGCAGTTAATCTTGCTTCATCTGCCTCTGTTGCTGCCGTAGCTGGGCTTATTGCCTCCCAGCAAGGTTTATTATTTCAGGCTGTGGTCTGAGCTGCAGATAGGCCGAATATTTACAGCTGCCACAAAGTTAGCTTTGTCCTCTATCAGTTCTACTTACAAGAAGTATGGCTCCATTTTGCTGCCCTGTGCCAAAGGTTTCCCTTCCTTACAGCCAGCAAGCCCCGGCTGGGTCCCACATGGTGCGGACAGGGTACACAAGGAGCCCCCAGCCCTCCCCGCTCCTCTGGGACAGTCTTTGGGGTATACAAATGGTTTCCAAAGAGTTTGGAGCTCCTCTGGAGGCGGGGGGGGTGGACACACTAACTTACAAGAGGACTTGGTGAGAAGGGGGCATAACGGAGGAGGTCAAGTGGGTGCTGAGGGTGAGAGAGCTCCTCACCCGCCGCCTCCCCAGCATGGCAAAAGACCAGTTTGAGCTATGCTCCTGGCTGTCACAGGCAGAAGAGCACTGCTCTTGGCCCCTGCTCCGACAGCAGCCGCCGCTCTGCATGATCCTGGCCAGCGCCATCCTGCTTCCAGCAAAGACGTAGAGGAAGGGGTTGAGGCAGCTGTGGAGGAAGGCAATGCTCTGGGTGACCTGCAGCCCAATGTCCAGCTGGTTGGCAGCCTGACAGCTGTATGCCACCCTGGCATAGGAGTTGATGGCTTTGACCAGCAAAATAATATTGTACGGGAACTGAGAGAGAAGGAAAGCGGTGATGATCATGGTGATGATCTTCAGCGACTTCTGCTTTTGGGATCTTTTGGCTTGCAGGAGGGTGTGGATGATAAGGGCGTAACAAATAACCATGACAAGGAGCGGGAGGAAGAATCCGATTGTGACTTTCAAGGTCAGGACAGTAACTCTAATGATCATGTTGATGTTTGGCGGGTAGGTAATTTTGCAAACTGTTATGTCACCTACCTGCGTGCTTTGGCTATACGCGATTTCTGGGATGCACAGGCTCACAGATGTCAACCAGACAGCCAAGCACATGAGTTTGCTGCGCAGGAGCCGCCTTCGCTTAGAAGTTTTAGCTTTTGTCGCCTGGACAATAGTGATGTACCTGTCAAAGCTGATGCAGGTTAGAAACAAGCTGCAGCCGTAGAAGTTGATCTTATACATACTGTTGACGACTTTGCACATGAAGTTCTTGAAGATCCAGCCGTTGGAGGCTGCCTTGGCCCAGAAGGGGAGGGTGAAGAGGAGGAGAAGGTCCGCAATGGCCAGGTGCAGCAGGTACCAATCCGTCATGCTCCTCCTGAAGCGGTATTTGCAATAGACGAGCACAACCAAGGCGTTTCCCACTGTGCCCACAGAGAAGATGAGCCAGAAAAACACCGGCAGGAAGGCTCGAGCAAACTGCCTGACCTGCCTCCTGTCACATGTGAAGTCTGTGTCGTTCACCAGGTTTCCATACAGTGACAGCACAGTGCTGTCATTCCTGTCATAATCCAGGATGGTCTTGCCAGGTTGAGTGATCTGCAATGGGACATCAGGTAAATTTGTGTTGAGAGATGGCTCAGTAAAGCATAAATTTGCCCCTCTCCACTAGATGCAGTTGAAGATCCCCAATATATTCCATTTTAGATGGGAAAGCACAAAGGCTGCCAGCGAAACACAGCATGTTTCAGACTGCTTAAAGTGTGTGGCACAGCAGAGACATAAAAATGACCTGCTGAGTGACAACCTCTTTACAGAAGAGAAGTTCACCACCTCCAGTCAACTTCAGTTATTAAAATGGCAGGTGGTGAGAGCATTATCTCCGTCAGATCATTCAAAACACTGCTGGCTTGGCAGCTTCAAAGACATAACAAAATACAATATCCTCAACTTGGATAGAGGTGGGGAAGAAGGATTTGTGTTACTGCTACAGTGGGACTGCACCGTTGGCTCAACAGAGGCAGAAAACTGATGGAGGCAAAGAGGGGGAAAGAAAAACGGAGGTTACACAACAACGTAGCTGTATACTCACTACACTTGCAACTGCCATCTTCAGTCAAATCCTTACTCAATCTTGAAGGAGGCTCCGTAACCTGGAGTGGAAAGGTGAGGGGAAAGCAACCAATTTGAAACAGCTTTGAAGTAGAACTGTGAGTCTTTTATTTCTTCTTCTTTTAATAAAACCCTCAACCCTTTGAAACGAAGCCAGGAGATGAACAAACCACACAGAAATTGATGTCACTGGTTTGAATTATTTAGCTGTTTCCATTTAAAAAAATTACATTTAGTCTACATTAGGTTTTTGGCTTCTCTATGGCACCGTGCTGATTAAGTCCTTTGACATATTAGAGTCACTGCAATCTCATTTTTAATAAGATGTAGACTCCCCAGTGCGCACATTAAAAAAGAAAGTAATCTGAAAGCACCGTATCTTCCAAAAGGTTCATGAAAATAAATTAAATGTGCCTTTTAAATTGTCTAGCAACTAACAAGGAAAAGTACCTGCCTTTAGTAGAAGTTTGCAGCGTTAAAATATTTGCATTCTCTGCAGTGACTGATAATCTCTGCCTGCAACATCTCTTTCTTATCTGTGAGTTTAAGCGCGATGCTCATTGCTGTTGGCCTGCAAAGCAGATCATTATGCCCTGGTAAACAAGAAAATACTGTTTTTTCCTGCTACAGATTGCTTTTCAAGTCAGTCTACCATCACAAAATGGAGCTGAGCCTGGTGGGCTTGATGCAAGTCACACGCTCCCATGTATTCAACATGTTCTGCAGCAGCTCGCCTGTTGTAGTGCCTGGGGATTTTAAATTTTTTAATGGGTTTTTAAATTTTCTGTCAAGATACAGAACTACACACAGAATTATGCTGGTCTCTGGAATTTCAAGTACAGCTATAAATTTAGTACCTGGCTTTTAACAATGATACCTGTACCCTGTGCATAGTAGTTGAATTTCTGATGCACAAAACTCAAAATGTATTTTTCTTTGACTTCTTTCCAAAGCAGACAACCAAGGAAAGTCAATGGTCGAAGTATACTAATGCTACAGCATGGCACAGAATTTACGCCAGTAAAAATACGCAGGCAGACAGAAAGCAACCACCTGTATAGTACCTACAAAGCAGAGAGACCATACGTAAATACTATGATGTAGAAATTAAGACCAGTCATAGCCATGCATATACAAATTATGTTGGAGAGGTCTGTTGAAACAAGTGGAAAATGCTCCTCTCCCAGCCATGGTTCAATACAGCAAAGTCTCTGGCGGCAACAGCCCCACAAGGTGTTTTCCTTGTCCCCGTCCCTGTCCCCATCCCCGTCTGGCTCCAGCCCAGGCAGCAGTGCAGGCGCAGAGCGGGGCTGGAGGGGTGACTGACCCTGACGGGCGCAGGCAGCCAGGGCGCACCCACCCCGGCCCCCTGATCACAGGCAGGCTCGCACAAATCACAGTGAACACGGGGACAGCTGAAAGCCGCGCTGGATTCCTACCATCCGAGGAACAATCCTCCGCCGCAGCACAGAGGAGGCAGCGTGCTAACCACAGCGGCTGCCTTGTGCTAGGGCTTTGCTCTGTCATTACTGCTGTGCTTGTTATGGGTTATATTAATAATAATAATGTCGGATTAGATACAATGAGCTTTCAGATGTTCTAGTCAGCACCTGATTTTTTTCCATGGTGAACTTCACAGCACACTAAAAGTTGACAAGCAATAGACCGTCCCCCTGCTTATTAATCAAAATTAATTTGATCTCTTTCTGCTTATTTTGGGGGGGGGACACACACAACACGACGACACAGTTTCAGGAATTGCCGTGCTAAGCACGTGACTCATCCTTCCCAGCCACACATCAATTCGTGCTCGCCTGCTGCGACTCGTCCCCATCACAACAGTGCAAAATTCAGCTATTGAGGCTGAGACATGCCGTGTGCTACTCAGAGGTGACTGTGGCCAGAGGCAGGCAGGCAGCAAGCTACTGATTTCTCCCTGGGTCCTGTTACCAAAAAGTCATTACAGCATTTGCTGAAGGGTGCAGAGCTGCACATCCCCAGGGGGCTTTTTTATGTTATTTTCTTTTAGCTGTCAGACCTACCTTAAATTGCAATCAAAAAGATAATCGTAACTGGGTGAGTTCAACGGCAAATGAGCTTTTTCTTTTTTTTTTTTTTTAAAAAAAGGCAATTTGTAATTCGGTTTCCTTTCCATGGAGGCTGCACATGGGAAAGACAGACATGAATAGCAGAGGAGCGGACTCACCGGACAGTCGCTGCAGGAAGGTCAGCCCAGATGTCACACCACCACATGCCGTGTTTGTTCTTTGCACCCACAATTAAGCTTTGGGCCTTTTGTAGGCTGAGATGGGTGTGTGCTCCCAGGACCCCAGCCTAATTAGACCTGTCACAGGCTGTTTTCTCTGTGGTTTGCATGGTTTAGGTGGCTCAAACACAGATGGCAATCTTCTCTTTTTTAATTTTTTCATTGTTTTTTTTTTTTTCTGGTTAAGCTCTTTCAATAGCAAAGGGAAGACCTCTCATACCACCATTTTTCTGCTCATGTGCATCATCTAACACAGGGCAAATCAGAGGCTGCTCCCAGCGTGGCCATGTCCTGCTGGAAAACACTTTCACTGGGGAAAAAAAAATCCCCAAACAAGAACTGGGTCCCTCTAAGGAGCTGCCAGTGTCCCCTGGGGATGCTGGGACAGGAGCGTCAGGTCTAGTCCTGCCTGCTCCAAACTGGCCTGCAGGCACAGCTCCTCAGAGCTGCCCACCAAGACTGCAAGCAAGCAAACAGGGGCTGGGACTGCAGGGTCTGCTTTGCAAGCAACAGCAAAATTGAGCAAAATGGAAGTATGCCACCTTCAAGAGGAAAGGCCAGGCTATTCCTACCACAGAATCTGGAGAGACCTAGGGCAGGACTGCAGGCAGTCACATAAAATCCCTGCTGGTGGCACGTCTTATGTGACAAAAGAGTGAGGCAGGAAAGTTTTTGAAGAGGAAGGCAGTGAAAAGTGGTTAATAAATATATAAACTTGAACATCTTATGTCTTCTTCCTGGCAAGCTGACATGCAAATTATGGTGATTTAAATTCCCCCCTCCGCAGGAAGTCTAAGCACCATGGGGTTTTGCTTAAATGCTGGATGGGGGCTGATGCTCATTCAACTCACACTTCAAGAAAATTTTCAAATCACAGTTCAGGCTTACTGCCAATTATGGAGAAAACAATGATTTGGGCTAGGTTTGGGGTTGGGCTTGACTGTTAATTGGCACCATGCTCCAGCGTTGGATGTGTGGCATTCCCTTCCAAGGGGAAGGAGCCCAGTGTGCTCCACACACAACTGCAAAATCCCCACTAAGGTGTCTGCATATCTTTAATAATTAGTTGTCACCCTAAAACAGGTGTAGGTTTGTATGCAATGATACCCGTGTAGGGCGCATGGCTGCTCTTGGATCCCTGGGTAGGAAAACAGGGGTGGGGGAAGCAGGTATCAGCTAAACCGCAGGGCACCTGCTAAGGAAAGCATAGGTGTGAAAGCACAGGCGTAGCCTCTGGGCTCAGGCATGACTTACTCCGGGCTGGCAAATGGCTGCCTGCCAGCAGATGTATGGTAATTACCCCTAATTCAAGCTACATTGCCCTTGGTGTAATGCAAGGTGATTCAGCATTGGGAGAGCTACATTAACTGCAGCATGGTAAAGGCACACCCATGGGCAAAGCCTATTTGCATCCTTGCTCAGTGCCATCCAAAGTTAATTCATTTTGAACGAAAATGGAGATGGTGCAGTCAGTTCTTGTGATACTAGCATGCGTCGTGAGATTACTTGTGATTTCCTTCCAGCTCACATCATTACAAAACTAAGCATCCCTATTTTCCTCACAAATATATTGCTTTCATGCTTGCCAAGAGAACTTGCAAGTGTAACACTTTTTGTTTGTTTGTTTAAAGTAAGTGGGAAAATAAAAACCATTCTTGTATGCCTTCTTTTTAACTTCAGGGTGTTCAATTTTAAGCATAACTTGGGGATGATTTTTTAAGCTGCTCATTGGTAGTGCGTGTACGTATGGCAGAGACGTACTCAGCTTGATGTGCGGATCAAGTGCTGGAAAGATTTTGCAGAAATAGAACAAAACTTGGGGTTACACCCACTGCTGAGGTTGACCAAGAAGTTTCCTTTTTTCACAGTAAGAACTGCACTGTGCTTGCACTAAATCTGTCTTTTAATATACCTATTTGCACCTCCCCAGGTAAAAAGAGGACATTAACCTGCTCCTCTCCAAGCAAGCTGTTTTACAGGTTCATCAAGCCCTCAGTTGGTCTGTTTAGGAGAGGCTGTGGCCCCGATTCGCCATCCTCTGTGAGGAGGATATTTGCACTCGGTGAGATCAATGCCTTTTTTATGCAAGCAAATAATGTTATCTAGGAGCTTCCTATAGATCAAAAGACTTGAGGTGAGTCCTAGGAACATAAGACTGGACATGACAAGTCACCTCAGCTGTTCCTTGTTTCCCCAAAGTCAGGCAAGACAAAACACCTGGGCTATTCCTGACAAGCAAGCATTGCTCTCCATTGAGTAGTCTCATATCTTCCAGCAAAGAAAAGATGAC